CTGGCGCTATGGCTTGCCCAGTGGTTGTACGGATGTATGATGCTTGTTGCCGTTGACCTGTGGAAGCCGTATCCGTCAAGCTCCCCGGCTACCCCAGGCGCCGAGTGGCTCTGGCTCGTGGTACGCGCCTCTGCCCTGGTTGTCGCCCTGGTCGGCCTGGTGGTGTGACTATGCGAGGTGCAGCGCAGTACTGAAGCAGGGAGGCAGCTGGGGCTGCGCGGCCAGCCGGCCGGCCAGCCAGCCAGACGGCGGCAGCGGTGCCGCTCACGCCCCGGCAACGGCCACAGGCATGCTGCCCACCGGCGCCTGCGCTGCCCTGGGCGCCAGTGCGGCGCGGCGCACCGGCTGCACTGCAGGCGATTGCGCGTGGCGAGACTGGCGCCCTGCAAACTACTTTAGGCTCCAGTGCCCAGCATGTTTGCAGTTGCCAGCACGTGTATGGGCCGCAAGAACAGCAAGAGGGACAGCAGGGCTGCTGAGCGCAGCCTGCCAGGCCACCGATGCCGCTCAGCGACCGGCCAGCGAGAGGCATGCTGTGCCCCGCCATCTGCTGCCGGCGGCGCGCAGCATGCTCTCAAGCGACACAAGACGAGCGCACAACGAGGCGGCCCCAGCGGGTTGGCTGCTCGCAAGCGCCCAACTGGCAGGCATGCTTCGCAGTGCTTTTTCGACGGCGCACGATTGAGGGCCCGCCCAAACGGGGCTAAAGCTTCAGGCCACAGATGCTGTCAGCCAGGCTCGGTTGCAGGCGGGGCAAACAGAGCTGCCTGTACTAGCTGGGCTGCCGGGTAGCCTCCGGCAGTTGCAGGCGCAGCAGGCGGGACAGGCGCGGCAGGCGGGATGCCTGGCTGTACGCTCGCCATCCCCTGCAGCCAGATTCTGCCAAACAGCTGACTCGCAGCCCAGCTGGTGCTGACACTTCTGATTGCCCGTGCCCGCAAGAGGCCGGCAGGGGCCACACCTGGTTGCACGGCTGCCCGCCTGCATGTGGGCGACGCCGGCAGCGCTGCCGAGCGCCGCCGCCACGCAGATGGATGGCTGTGCGCGAGGTGTGGCTGCCGCCAGCCTTCACACAGACCCACACCCGGGCCGACGTGACTGTGCAAGATGCCAACCCTGTGTCTCGCGATCTGGCGATTGCGCACAGAAGCGGCCGACAGGCCTAGGGGGCTGGCAGTCAGGGCCAGCCAGCCAGCACGGGAGGCGGGCCGCGGTGGCGCTCGGGGGCCCGCTTAGCAGACGTGCTGTGCACCAGCCGCAGCAGGCGGCGCACAGCACGTCCGGTCGTAAAGCAGTACCACGAGCGGCAGCGCGGCAGCCTCGCTACGAGGCGGCTGGTGTCGGCCACCGGCGGCGACTGCCAGCGCCCGCGCGCGCGGCGGCGGTGGGGTGTGGACGCAGGGCAAGCGGTCGGGCAGCCCAGCACCCTCACCAGTCATTCTTGCCGCTGTGCAGCTCTGCCAGAGGCTCCTCCTGCAGTCCAAGGCGAGGGAGGGAGGCGAGGGTTGTGCCTGGGAGGCTCAGGATCCGGCCTCCTTGGCTCGGCAGCATGAGCTTACCAGTCTAGGCACACGGGGCGCAGTGAAATGTGGCCCTGGGCAGAAACAGCTGAGCGACAGGCAGCAAAAAGGGACCCGGCCCGCCTGTCAAGCTGATCCCAGCTTCTACACAGGTGCTATTGCGCTGTGAGCGAATGAAGGAGTTACAGGTCGTGTATGATGTTCGCCAGAGAAGAAAGGAGAACAGCATGGAGACAGAGACAGATCACAACATGAAGCGCGGCGGCGGCCGTGGCCGCTGCCGCACGCCCCACGGCGCCAGCTGCTGCACCCCGGGCGGCAGCGCCGCCGCCGGCGAGTAGTGGGGCAGGCCGAAGCGCTGCAGCAGGCCGGTGCTGTCCTTGACGCCCACTGCGATGCAGTAGTGTTGCTGCAGGGGCGGGGGCAGGGCAGGGGCGGCGGGGTGAAGCGCAGGGAGCCGAGCGGGCACCGCCGGCCACCCCCCCACCCCCTGCCCATTCTTAGCAGCAGCAGCAGCAGGAGGAAACCC